ACAAAGAAATAAAACCTTTTTTTCCCCGTTTCTTTTCTTTTTAATTTTTTTCTTAATATTATTCAATCTAACTTTATATTTACACATTTCAGATCTACACAGTGAGTCAGAAACAAAAGAGGACATTTTCTATACCCAAGGCTCTTTGAATTAAGTTCAGAAGTGCACAAATTCCTTGCTAATGCAGTCTAAGTGTTGTTTCTGCATAGTTCCAGGTCTTCAAGGCTTCTGGGGTCTCCCTTTCAGTTGACAGTCAAACTAAGTTTCTGATAAACTGAGGTCCTATTCTTCATTCCATGGGAAGCTCTGTCTCTCCCCATATCTTCAAGGACTGTCATGGGGGCTAATTTTCTCCTAATTACCTTTTACTTTTATGTGTCACCATCCTGTGTTTTTGAACCTCGTGTATCTTGCCGCCCCTGGTTGACTGCTTCCTTCTTTTTGTCCTCCCAGGGCCCAATACCTTCATTACTAAAAGCCCCATCAACACTGGGCTGTCCTGTATAACCACCTTTTGTTGAAGGCATAAAAGAGAATCATCTTAAAATTTAATATTCTCCATTGGTATCTCCAAGATTCTGCAGCTATATATGTGGAGGGATTTCTCCCTTGCTTGTCTTCACATTATGGCCTTTCCTTATTCTCCTTAGAGACCTTTCCCGTTTTCTTCTCTTCGGAGTTCAGCTTCCTTCCAACTTCCCCAGAGTCAAGCCGACTTCCAATTTCCTACCATGTTATTATGAAGCACACTTTGATTCTGTTACAACTCTCTTGTTCTAGATCATACCTAGTGTCCTTAGTCTTTACAATATAAAAAATGGCTATCTAGCTGAGTTTTTAAAGCAAAACAATCACTTACTTTTGAGATGAGTATTATCATCAGAATGTCAAAGGTTGTTTTCTTTTTTATATTCTTTAATTCTCCTATTATAGTATTATCACACTCCAGCAGATTTACAAAGTACTTAAAAGGTGAAGACATACTGATTTATAAAAATTACAATGAAAAATAATACAAAATTGTGGTGTTATACTTTATATAATGCTAATAAAAATATTGATAAATGCAAGTTTCAAATGATTTATAGAAACAGAAAGATAACTTTTGGTTTGTGAACCTTTGTGTCTTAGAATTATGTATATTTAGAGACTATTCAGGTGCTTTGTTTGCTCACAGGTAATTGTGTTGAAGCTAGAATTATGTCACAACACACACACACACATGCACACGAACATCCCCCATTACATAGAGGATAGTAAACTATTCTTATTAAGGTTTAGGAAAATTCTTTTAAGATTCTACAAATGCTTATAATTGAAAGATATGCTTCAATTCATTTGGTAATGTTTTATCATTCTTGTGTTATCAATCTGTTAAAAAAAACTAACAGAGGAATGGTGGTTTTCAAACTTTAGTATGCATAGCAATCACCTAGGAAGCGTGTTAAATTAGATTCCTTCTCCCCACACAAGAGAATGTGGGTCTGACATCTGATATAAAGGTGAGGAATTTGCATTTTTGTAAACTTCCCAGGTATTGGGTTCTCTGAAAAGTCATGACGTATTTTTTCTATGTTTTCGTTGCAAATATGCGTCATGACTTTTCCAACAACCCAATATATTCTAATGAATTTCATCATACGGCCTCACTACTTTTCTAGAAATATAGGGGGTAATTTAAATGTTACCCAAGTACAAGATGGTTCATGTTAGTTATTCCAACCACCAAGTCCGTTAACCTTTTCCTAACAACATAACTCATTTAATAAACATAAACATAAGGTTCTAGTAGTTTTTATTGAGGTAATAATTATGTTTTTAAAGTATACTGAAATATATATATATAATAATGATTTATAATATTTCCATAGTGCTTTAAATTAAAGCACAACCATATATATATATATACACATATATATATATATATATATATATATATATATATATATATATATATATATATATATATATATATATAAATTTTTTCCATCATCCCAAACAGTGGGGCTGCTACAATAATTTAAGACAAGAGAATCCTGTGGGTTTCCCAATAGGCCACAAGTCAGAAGGAGCACTACCCAGCAATCAAACTGCTCTAAAGTCATCTTACAGCCTCATTTTAAAACCCAGGTAATGTTTTTGGTTGATTTAAAGTCTTCACAAAAAGTAGATTAACCTTTATAAAATCAGGGTCTCTGTGCTAGGTTAGGACTTATTCATCACTTATTCATTTGTGCAAAAGAGGCAGATTTAGAAAGCCTGATGTTCCTGTGATGTTACCATTAAGGCATCACTTAAAAAAGTGACATTGAAAAAGTCCAGACTTTTTTGATAAAGGTTCCTACTGTGTGATACCAGAGTCTCCTCTTTCCACTGGCTACCCTCCACTCATACTTGAAATTCCAGTCTATTGATATTTTATCAGAGATTTCTAGGACCCCTCAGTCTAAATGAATACCCATTTTTTATCCTTTTTTTCTTCATTGCATTTATTGCAATTGTAATTACATAATTTTTGTGTGGTTAATTATTTAATATACACTGTATCCCTAGTAGATTATTAGTTCCTCAAAAGCAGGGATTGTGTTTTTGTTAACTACTGTTAAATTAAGACTCTAGCCATATGGACTGGTGTACAGAGGCACCTAATGCATACTTGTTGAATGAATAAATGAAGAGTAGAAAATGTCCGATTGGAAAAGGTCCCAGTGTTTTATATTGACAAGCATCAAAATATGCTAGAAAACTGTCTGTGTTGTATGGAGGTGGGCTGGCAAGCTAGGACTGATTTTGGAAGAGTAAGGTTGGGAAGTCCCATTCAAGTTCCACCTCATAAATGTAGGTGGAGAGAGTTTGAGACTACAAAGTTAGCTGAAAAAAAAAAATGCTGAATGAGGAACACTAGTAGCACAGATTAAAATTGCAGTTTACTTTATTTGCTTTATAGTCTCTAACTGCCTCATAGATAGAATTAGTGCACTAAAACTTTTGACATTTAGCCCATAAAGTTTGAGGCTGAATGGGGATGTGGAGACTATGGGGAGTGGCTGGTGGTAGGGGCATTGATTTGTACACACTCGGCAGGGCTCTAATGAAAGAAGAAGATTTCAGGGGGAATCAGAAACAAACATGACTTTCAAATCTATGTGTAACATTTTGATTATATTAAGAAGTGTTTATATAAATCAAAGATAATTGATTCTTCCTCCAAAAGATGTCATCTTTTAAGGTATTCAGGGGGTCTTAGTGATACTGTTACAAGAAGTAGTTGATTAAAAAAGAACTGTGTAAAACAACAAAACAAAAAAAACCTGTGTATTTGTACAAAGGGAAAGCTGAATGAAAAAAAATAGGTTAATATCTCACAATAAGTCTGGGACAGATAATAGTCAAATCCTAATGTGAAAACCAAGGCAAGTTAGAAGATGTGCATGGGAAAATAAATCAAAGCCATGAAAATGACATGCCATATATTACTACGTGAATGCTGTATTAACTGGCACATTGCATACAGACAGTTCCATAATTTGGGTGGTTTTAGGCAGATAGTCACAGTCCTAAGATTTTTTTTTTAGTCCTTTAGTATCTCTTAAATATTTAGTGAGATTTGTATGTCTCTTACATTAAGACTCAACTAGGTAAAAAAGGAGGTGATTTCAATCTCTTCTTGAAACTTAGATCTTCTCGTGGCATGGCTGAGGAGTGGGTATTAGGGGACAGCTTTGGGGTTTGGATATGTCCTACTGTTTCCAAATCAAGGCCTCCCTCCACTTGACAGATGATCTCCTGCTCCTGAATAATTCATTTGTTTAGACATTCAAGGAATAGTCTCTTGGTGCTCATTCGGCATGCTAAATCTGAGAGCATTATCAGACAGCAGTAGGAACTTGCCAGCTTCTTTGAAAGCCTCTGGTACTGACTGCAGCAGTGCCATTCACTCAAACCAAGTGTTTCAATTTTTCAGATCTTTAATATTATGTATGTTTTAACATATATTTATTCTACAGTTGAGGGTTTGGTAGTTAATGAAACAGAATCTGGGGTGAAACTTTTCAGGTTAGGGTCTCAGGTCTATCACTTTGTAACCTATGTCTTTGGAAAAGTGATTTAAACTCTGTGTATAATATCTGGGACTGTAGAATACTGTAGGGGTCATGATGTTATAAGTATTGATATAAGTCAATTACATAAGTTGCTTTTAAGAGTATCTGGTACTATTAAGAACTATGTAAGTGAGAGCTCTTATTATTATTCTATATTAGTAGGTGTGTGTATTCATATATTATTGACTGAAGAAATAAAGAACACTTGCAACTTTATAACATGATGCTGTAATATTTGGATTTTTTTTTTCAGGAGTGGAAGAAAATGATCTTTTAGTGTGTTCCTTAACTCTATTCTCTCTCTTCATTCTAGTTGCCTAGAATTTGCTCTTTTGGATAAGTCACCACCCTAAGTTGATATTGGTAACATAACTAAAAAATTTTTTTTCATGTTCATACTGCATGATAACTGAACTTAATTTATAGGTGGGAACCTACAGTTAAATTTGGGTGGTTCCCATTTCCATTAGTGTGAACTGCATCTTATGTTTATTGATGTAGAGCTTGATCTGATATATGAAGGTTTCTAGGATCTTAAACAATATCTGGAGCCACTGTCTATCTTTATTATTATTTTCATTATGTTGCCCTTTAACATTCTTTTGGAGTGATTTTTATGTTCTCTTCACAGGTGTACAAAAAAGTCAATTATTGAAAAAAAGTTTTTATCTACATATGCTGAAAACAGAACTTGAAACACATTACATGTGCCACTCTAATGAATGTTACCTTCTCATCTCTTTTTTCACTTGAGTAACTTCCCAAGTGAAATCTCCAAATATGCTTTCATTGGTTTCCATCTATAGGGATAGGTGCACTTAGATTTGGATAAAAATATATTATGGTTCAGATCATTCTCTCTCTTTTTATTTCTTTCTCTTTTTTTTTCTACAGTTTATTGCTTTTGCTTCTTTATTCTTCATCCTGGTTTCGATCACAACCTTTTGCCTGGAGACACATGAAGCTTTCAATATTGTTAAAAACAAGACAGAGCCCGTCATCAACGGCACAAGTGTTCTACAATATGAAATTGAAACGGATCCTGCCTTGACGTACGTAGAAGGAGTATGTGTGGTGTGGTTTACTTTTGAATTTTTAGTCCGTATTATTTTTTCCCCCAATAAACTTGAATTCGTCAAAAATCTTTTGAATATCATTGACTTTGTGGCCATTCTCCCCTTCTACTTAGAGGTGGGGCTCAGTGGGCTCTCATCCAAAGCTGCTAAAGATGTCCTCGGCTTCCTCAGGGTGGTAAGATTTGTGAGGATCCTGAGAATCTTCAAGCTTACACGCCATTTTGTAGGTCTGAGGGTGCTTGGACACACTCTTCGAGCTAGCACTAATGAATTCTTGCTGCTGATAATCTTCCTGGCTCTGGGAGTTTTGATATTTGCTACTATGATCTACTATGCCGAAAGAGTAGGCGCTCAACCTAACGACCCATCAGCTAGTGAGCACACGCAGTTCAAAAACATTCCAATTGGGTTCTGGTGGGCTGTGGTGACCATGACTACGTTGGGCTATGGGGATATGTACCCCCAGACATGGTCAGGGATGCTGGTAGGAGCCCTGTGTGCTCTGGCTGGAGTGCTGACAATAGCCATGCCGGTGCCTGTCATTGTCAACAATTTTGGAATGTACTACTCTTTGGCAATGGCGAAGCAGAAACTTCCACGGAAAAGAAAGAAGCACATCCCTCCTGCCCCTCAGGCAAGCTCACCTACTTTTGGCAAGACAGAATTAAACATGGCCTGCAATAGCACACAGGGTGACACGTGTCTGGGCAAAGACAATCTACTTCTGGAGCATAACAGATCAGGTAAGGCACGATTTGAAGTGCATGCCATTACGTACTTTATAGACCAGTATGGCCCTTAGGTAGAAGGCTACCATTCTCATTTTCTGCAAATGTTCATGAATGTTCAGTTCTTCCTCTTCACAAAACATGTGTTTGTGCCAGGCTTGTAGATAGCTAGATTGTAGCTTTTCTAAGTGAATTCCAGGTAGAACTTTGCATAGCTGGTCTGTAGAGTTTTCCTGCTTTGGTGGCAATGCCCTTTGCTGATGGTGCCAATATTTTCTTTTGCCTGTTTGTTGCTTCTGTGCCAATGTTTCTTTGTTTCCTTCCCTGCATGGTGTAATGGTATGATATCGGCCATTTTCCATCCTTCATCCTCAAAATGTTGATCTCCATATCATTTGGCTTGGTGTGTTTGTCTTAGTTTTATCTCTGCCACATGGGACCATGCATCTCAACCTAACTCACAAGAAGCAGTTACTTAAGAAGAATGGATGTTTACATTTCAAAGGCCTAAACATCAAAGAGGTGATATGGAAGATAGCACTTTTGATAACAAAGGTCTTCCCTAGTAATATTCTGGAGAATTGATTAAATTTTCATTATTCTTAGATTAAGTCAGGTATTCAGTATAATCCCTTTGAATCGGGCAAGGTGCTATGTAATATAATCAACTGACCATTAATTTGGGGATAGATGATCTGCTTTGGCTAATCAATGGTGACGTTGAATCTCTCTGTGGATCTCCTTTTTTATGCACTATGCATTGAGCTCTTTTCCCTCCTAGAATTGAATATTGGATGATTGATATTAGCTGAACCCCTACTCCTCTCTATTGCCACAGATAACCTGGAGCAGACTGACTAGATTGACTGTAAATTGATCTCCAGTTTGCTAAAGTGATCATCGGTAGTATCATTTCCAGTCTATTATGTCTGATACAAATAAAATATTTTGTAAACAACTTAATTACCTTTCAGCCTACTATGAAAATTTAAGATATATCCATTTCCTGTAACTTGAAGATTATAATCTTTTTCTTGTAGAAAATGATTTATGATAATCTCCTGTGAATAATTTTTGCACAATTTAGAAATACCACTAATTAAACTAAGCAAGCAAACAAACACACAAAACAAGCAGGTGACGTTTTCATAGGTTTCCTCCTTAGTTTGCAGAAGTTTTAATGGAGTAAATGAGAAAAAATAATTGTGGATGGAACTGAACTACTTTTTAAGGATTATTCACAGTTCTTATGTTCATTTAGTAGATTGTTCCACAAATTCTGTCAGTATATCTGAAAACTGTTGGGCCAAGAATGTCTTTATGAAAGATGGAGTTTAGTTGGTGTTGCTGGTCTCATCAGACTTCTCAGAGTGCCTGTACAGAGCCCATATGAAGGGCACAGAAAAAAAGGACATTCTCAGCCTGGGTAAACATTATTATAACAAGCTAGTACCTAGGATGATAGGATGTGACTGTCTTTGGCAAACATATAGAAGTGAACAGTTGTTTCAAGGGCATTTGGAGAAATTGACCTTGTTCGATTGTTATGTTCAAAAATACTTTGTCACTTCATACTGGAAAACCTGGACACAAAGTTTGTGAGCTGTGGGATTATTTTTATTAAGATGTTTGAGGAAAATTACTTTCAGAAAATAATGAAAGCACGTGTCTTAAAGAGCTACAAAGACGATATTTACTTAGGAGTTTTTCCTTAAATAGGCTCCACTTTAAACATCAAATAAAAAAATAAAGATTCCTATTCATAGTAACTAGAGAACATGTCAAAAATTGTAAGATATTAATTTGTGTGTTACTTTATTATCACACTTACTTGAATCATATTAGTTTTGTGAAAGTCAATTTCCTATTAGATAGAATCCAAAATGGAATTAAAATTTCCCAAAGAACATTTCTCTCCTTTTCAATACATTTCCATTTTGCTTCATGTAAATTTTTGTGGTGAGTGATGAAAAATCCCTTTCTTATCATGATGTGATTATTGTGTTTTGTATATCGAGTGACTGTACTATGGACATTTGGTGTAAACTCTTTGTACTGTCTCATTTCCTCATCCATCACTGTCTGTCAATGGGCATGGTGCTGTGACCAGTGTTATCAGGTGACGACAGTACAGGAAGTGAGCCATCATTATCACCCCCAGAAAGGCTCCCCATCAGATGCTCTAGTACCAGAGACAAAAACAGAAGAGGGGAAACATGTTTCCTACTGACGACAGGTGATTACACGTGTGCTTCTGATGGAGGGATCAGGAAAGGTAGGCATGCATTTAATCAGATCCTTACAGGTGACTTAGAAATTATATCCTGCAAATACATATATGGAGTGATATAAAATGCTCTTTTATTATTTTCTAGTAAAAACTGCACGAGTGCTCTTTTCCATTCCTCATCATATCTTTTCTCATTATAGACATTTGAAATACATATCATAACAGTCTAGTTGTTTGTCATATCTGAAAAGCATTTCATCTTTTTTTGTTTATCCTTTTGGTTTCCCATGTGTCTATGGGCAGAATTGTGATGGAGTATTTAAAAATCAAGTCACTCATTTAATTATTTTAGTATATAATGTATTCAGTAGTCTTTAAAAGTTATCTTTTTTACTGCAACTAATAAAACTCACCAATTGGCTCTCTGTATATATTTGATAAGTCATTGATGATTTAAAAAATAATAATAAGGCTTTTTCAAAGAAAAACATTAAACATACTCTAAGTGTCTTATCTAATGTTTGGGCATTTTTGGCTGTGGTTTTTCTGAGTGCCAGAAGGTGGAAAAGGTCCAAGATCTTTGGTCCAACAGAACAGTATATCCAATCACTTGAAAGGCTATTTATGTACTTATAAAATATGCTTATGGAATTTCTCTTCAGAGCATGAATAGTAATATTTTAAATTTATTACTATGTTTCAACCCACACTGAACTATGCCTGGTGCATAGAAGATACTCAGTAAATATTTGTTGAATGGATAGATTTTATTAGGCAGGCACCTTGGTTAAGGAATATAGCAGAATACTGGCAATCCAGTCATTAACATGGTTCAGTTCCCCTAGGCTGTGTCACTATGACCATTCTCTTTTTTGTTTTGTTTTTGTTTTGAGTAAACTTTACAGGTCTCAGGACAATTGAGCCTGTTTTCTCCCTTATGAAATAGTTTTGTGACACTGCCCACTCTTGTCAAGTGCCAGTATGCTCTTTGATTATTTCTTACTTTGATGATTCCAATCGCTTTATTGCCATGGTTTTTTTTTTTTTGTTTACTGACAGAATAGAGAAAGAACTAGAATAATTTCTTATGCAATGAACTGAATTTGAATGAAAAACCATTCCAAAACTTTCATAGTAGTGCAACTGCTTTTTAAAAATACTGTGCTTGTTGCTATTCATTGCAATTTCTCCCTATTGAATACGTTATTGTTTTAAGCTTCAAATATTTATTTTGTGATGCCCTCTCTCTTTCAAATATCTCATTTCCCATGTTTACTTCTCTTTCATTTCTTCTGAATACTTTATATTGTCCTTCTGTATCCATACCTTTGACTCCCACAAGAACAAAGGACTCTTCTTTTGTTTCTTCAGTATGTAATATTTCAAATGCTTCTTTATTTCAATTATTTCTATTTTCTGCATCTATTCTTTTCACCAAAATGTATTTCTATTATCTGAATGGGTTTATTTGATTGTTTGCTATTTTACATTTAAATATTATGAATCAGAGCAATTGTTAAATATTTTATGAAGATAGTTAATATCCTTTTATAGTATTTGAGCAAAATATATGCATACATTAAATAATGATAATAATATCTATCTAGTAATATTTTATGTATCACATATTTTAAGTGAATTACATATCTTAACTCACTGTATGTATATATGTACATATGTGTATATATGTATATATGGATTTTTATGTAATATGTGGTTAAATTACATGCATTTTTGAGCATTCTATAAAGTATCACATGTAATATTTATACTAAGGTTACATATTTAAGAACTTAGCTAGAATTTTTTTCTTTCATGTTAGACAATATTTTGAAATTTAAACTGTCAAGATTACATCTGAAAAAAGACTGCAAATTATAAAGCACTATGTAAATATAGAGTTTTTCTGTAAAATGGCAGTTACAAGAACAAAGCAATTAATAAGCTATTTTGTTTGTATGGAAAAGCTGTGCATACAATCTTATTTTACAAACATGAATTCTCTTTATCAATGAGAACATCTTTGAAAATTCATTTTTGAAATTTTATTCTTTGTCATTTCTCACCATAATGTACTTCTTTTTTTTTCATTTTTGCTTACTTCTTTTACAGCTTTATATTTTTTCTCCTTGATCTGGTAACATTTCTGGCTAACTTTACTTAATCTTCTTCGTGTGTTATCTTGTCATGTTTATCAGGAATTCATTCATTTCTTCTGTTCCCTTTTATGTGGATTATAGATTTTCTTTTATGTAAATTATAGATTTCTCCTATTATTCCTACTCAGACATTTATTTCCTAGATGACCCCTCTTTTATCTTTCAAGTTGGTCTCTCTACTGATTTAATTTTAGAGTTCTGATAATTCTCCCTTCTGTAGATGGAAAAAAATTACTGGATTCCCATTGAGTTCTTTTTCTATCAACAGATATGAATATAGTTGTTCATACATTAAGAAAAGTTATAGATTCCCTAAAATAGTAAATTCCCGATACTTAGAACCTATGATTTTATTTATGCAGTAGTTTGTAGGAAATAACATTACATAAACAAAAACATACCCATGGGTAGTACAAGGCTAAGCTGTTTTAATATTGCCCCAAATAAACACACGCGCTTAAGAATTATATAAATTGCACACTATGTATTTAGATGTTAGTTCAAACTAGGTTCAATATTATTTTCATGAGTTATGTTTTCAGCCACTCCATTCAATAAAAGTTTGATTAGGCAACATTTTATCAAATTTTCTAATCAGAAATGAACTGTAGAATTTAGGGCAAAATATTTATATAAATAACTTATAATTTTACTAATTAAATATTATTACTAAATTAGAAGGGAAAATTTTTAAATGAACGCAGAAGTTATAGTTATTAAAAAATAAAAGGATTTATAAACAAAATGGATAATATTTATATTAAAAACTATAAGTCAGAAAAATATTTGAACATTTAGAAGGGTAGCCAAGATTTACAAATAACTAGCATGATTAATATACAACTGTCAAACAAATTTTAACATATTTGGAGGCCCTGTAGGAATCATGAAGATTGTGGAAGACAAGATGTAAACTTTTATATGGATGATTTTATAGGTATTAACAACTCCTCTGGTTCATGCATATTCACCAGTTTGCTTTTAATCAAACCCAATCAATGTTTATGGTATAGTTTACGTTTTTAGGTTACACAGTCAACTAGGATAAATTACTCTTTCTACAATTCCTAAAGTTATATTTCTAATCACTTTACCAAACACCAGTAATAACTAGCTCTCCGGGCACATGAAAGTCTGTATGTAAAGATAAATTACCTGCAATTCATTTTTAATTATTCAAGGTATCCTCTCATTAACTATTCCATCATCCACTAGAGTACAATGCAATATGTACCTCATCCCATGTTTTATAGCTCAGAATACTAACAAAATATGTTGGCAGATAATTCCCTTATTAGCAGAAGTTGCCCTAGAGAACTTTACCGTAGTTAATGGATGGCATAAATTTCCGTCTACAAAATCTCCAAGAAGACATCGAATCTGCTGACAGTTTATATGTGTGTATGTGAAGAGGGGAGTCCTCCCCAGTGCAGCCTTACTCCTCAATAGAGCTATTATTGCAATTCATATCCATATCTGGACTTAGTGCTTGAAAAATCAAATAATCACTAAATCATCACCTCTCTTCTTCCAGTGAAAGGAGGAGAGATAGCCATGGCTTCTTCCCCAAAAATTCCATCAAAGTATAGAATTAAAGAAAGAAGTAGCTGAGAGGAAACGCAGAAGCCCACTTTCTTTCCTACACAGTCACCAAGCACATTGAGGGCTGATCAGGGCCCAAGGAATGTACCGTAAGTCGAAGGGACACAGAAGTTCACGAATGATATTTATGTGCTCAGCGTTGGCTGTCCAACAGAGAATTTCATTCTCCAGCTCAGCTCTATAATACTTTTGCAGTGGAGCTTTAGGAACATTTCTTCCCCAAGCTGCCTTTTCAGTTAATTACCACCTTTTCAGTTAATAGTTGGCCTGCTTTTAAGACAGTTCACTTCTAACTTTACACGAGGTGCTTCCTACTTCATTTAACTGCCTCTACTCTGTTCTAATAAAAAATACTACAATATCTGAATCCTTGCAAAGGTGACCTTCATGGGGTGTTGTTTGAGCAGCAAAGGCAAACCCATGAGTCAAAGCTTGTGAGAAGGATCTTTTGTTCTGTAAGTCCATGACAATCATGAACAAAAGATTAAAAAGGTGAATTAAGTTCAAATTGTTCTTAATTCCCCGCAGAGGGGGTCAGCTGAAAATATAATATAATCAGATTCAGACTTTAATTCACTGAAATTATAACTCAATTTATATTTCATTCATTATATTTTCTCTTTCCTTTTTTTTTATTTAAAGGATTAGAAGTGGACATTCATTTTACATCATCTAGATAATGGCATCAAATGCCATTATTTAAGAATCATCCCTTTAACTTCATAAAGCTGGAAGATTAAATATGCTATAAAAAGAATTGTCAACTTAAAGTTAAGCATGCTTTATTAGCTTAGTAAATACTAAAAAGTATAAGAAGAGAAAATACAGCACATTTATTTTTTTTTCAGGAACATATTATGAAATTTAAAAATATCAGCCAAGTGTATATCTTAGTTATTTTGCCTAATTTTTAGAAGAGTTCTCATATTATATATGCCAAAATTACGTCAACACAAACTATAATCTGGGAAAGATTAGATTTTGAAGTATTGCAACTGTAACTTGTGATAGCTGGTTTACTCTTTGGGGAATGACAGCTACAGCAGCTTCATTTTTTTTTTCTTTTTAAGAGTTCTAAATGGTTTCAATATTGAGCAATTTCTTCTTTGAGTTCAAAAATAGCAGTTTTGATTATCCTGCATGGTATTGTTTGTCTGTGTCTATTTTCTGGTTGAATTCACCTGATGTCTGTGCCTTTTTTCATAAAAGGATATGAAAAGTCCCGAAGCTTAAACAACATAGCGGGCTTGGCAGGCAATGCTCTGAGGCTCTCTCCAGTAACATCACCCTACAACTCTCCTTGTCCTCTGAGACGCTCTCGATCTCCCATTCCATCTATCTTGTAAACCAAACTTCATCTGTCGGCTAAATTGTGTTAACTCAAGTACTGTTTATCCCATAATGGAAATAATTAAATGTAGAGCTACTCCATGCTCCATTAATACAGTACAAATCTGCATGATGCTACTATTTGAAGTCAGAAATGCCATTGGGGTAGCTAATGAGTCTTATCCTGGCTTTAAAGATTATCTAAAGTAGTAGTACTACTTCTCCATATTGATCACCCTGATGTCCTTTCGCAATAAAATTACAGATAGTGTCAGATATTGGCCAGTACCCTAACACATCAACATCTTCAGGGAGATATATTTAAAGCAGTGTGCTCACAAATGCCAACCACGCCCTTGGATCTTCATTTCTGTGACTCTAAACCATTCTGAAGATGCCTGGGATTCTATCTTGCTTGCGTGTGACATGACTCTGGTCAGCTCATTGGCATGGACCATCTCATTCCTATTACCACCTGAAAGCACTGTCACAGAATTTGGGGACCGTGGATGGCTCAGGATACGCGGTACTTACATCGAACCATCCTGCTGATGTGAAAGCACTGGTCAACGGCTGTGCATGTTGAATTGTGGAGCAGGAAGGACGAGTTTCTCTCTGACATTTTTTTTCCTTTATTCTTTGAAAGAAGTATTTGTTTTAAGTAGTTTAATTTCTCGACTGATTTACTTGTCTTCCAAAATGCTGTACCGGAGTTCTGAATGTCTCTGGTTGTTTGCACACAAACTCCAAAGAGTTGTCATTACTGGTTATAAGCTGAGGCAAGATCCCGTCCTTAAGGGCTTTGGGGAAGGCACAAAACATGAGAGCAAAGTAACCGCCAGCCAGGCTGGAATTATTTAAACAGGAATTGCTACTTGGTACTAGAGTTATCATTATTATTATTAATTTAATCCTGGGATTTGTCATCATTTTCAGAGGCAGAGTGCCAAATATCTCCCAAAGCTCTCGTGTCTTTTTCACCTCCTTCCTTATTTTTATTTATTTAGTTTTGTGCCAACATCAAAGAGCATTGTTGTTCACAGGAGGCTTTCTTGACCAGCCTTAAATATCTGACTCAAAAGAATAATCCAATTTTCCATCAATGTTTAATCAGGTGCTTTGTCCTGAATGTGGTTCTGTCTGTCTGTCTGTCTTAGCTCCCTGTCTTAACTGTATATGCCACCTGTCTCCATAAAGCACAGAAATGCCTTGATAAGGTGTTCATGATTTTAGAACTGAACCGGGTCTTCTCCTCTGCCCCTCACCTTCTTTGTTACTTTGAACAGCATTCTCTGCTTTGTGTATAAATCAATGATGTCCTGTAGACTATCTTAGTTACTCAGTACTGTGAATCCTTCTGATAAACAGGATTTAAGCAGCAGCGATATCACCATTGCATTTGGTTGCCTGCTGCAGCGTCAGTTCCTGCTACCTACTAGCCAGCATCCATCACCACACGCCAGTGAAACCCCTAGGGAGTCTTACTCAGTCCAAGTGGAAGAAATCCTGTTTACATAGCCCTGTGAATGCAACAGGAATACAACTGGTGTCTGGGGCATGTGAGGGAAGACAAATGCAATAATATATATTGAGGGATAAACAATATTTCTAAGGCATTCAGCATCATTGAGATTGTTGATTAAGGTCGAATTCTCATGTTTATTTTTTGTTAGGGGACAATTGTCACTTTTATTCTTGGCCACGTAACTTGTATCACTCTATATCTCCAAGTCCTAGAGCATGACCTGCATGTCAGAGATCTTGTACAGCAGTGTATTTACCCAGATGTGCACATCTGATGTGTAGAGACCCAATGATCCTCTTGATAACACCACACACAGAGAGCTACAATTACACACAGCTATACGGTAAGGGAATGAATACACTCTCTGGTGCTGCTGTTGTTGACTGCAGTGCTGTGCAGAATTTATCATGATTGTTTTGGCTGCTGAAAAGGGGACAGTGGAATTTAGCCATACCCAGGACTGTGTCGGAAACAGGTTTCTGCTGCTGAACATGCCCTGATGGGACCAGGGTGCACTTGGAAGAAGTCCTCACGTCATCACAAAGGCATTTAAAGCTCATAAAAGAACTGTGGCTGGAACTCATTTGGTGCTCCCCATATGAGTGGTCTGCTTGTGGACTGGCAAGTGTCCATGAAACAACTGTAAATACCAACATGTGCACATGGGTCAACGGCTTTGGCCATCTCACATCAAAGGAAGCCAAATCATGACCCACATGTCTAAAGCTTCAAGTACGGCCCATGCCTCTGTGAATTAGCCCTCATGGGCCTGCAGTAGATCGTGCTGTGAATCATACAAGGCAGTGATACTGGTGTAGTATAGGTCTGTCTTAATTTCCCTTATTTCTTTGTTGGTTGGATCCATGAATATTGACTGTATCATTTTCTTATAAACCACTTGTGTTATCAGCTTGTCCTATTATGTTGTGAAATTTTCAGTGCCTATTTATCAAACTGACCTATTTTTAGTCACGTATTTGTGTAGTTCTGGAAATTCGCTATGACAAAAAAAAACTCACCAACATTATTCCTAGTTTGTCTTTTGTCATCATTACCTCAATTACAAATATTACAAAAAATAAAATCCTGGCAATGAGAGTATTTTTTTACTAAACGATCAAGGCGCAATGTCAGTATATAGTAGATTATTAATCAAATTATATCTTAAAATGTATATTTTGCATAAAAGAGATATTCTTAAATTAATTAACTTTTTTGTGAGTTTTGTGGCAAATGAAGCTTGTACTTGTCTTTAAAATTGTTGTAGTAGAAACTGTGTAAGTATTCTTCATCTTGCTTAATCAATATTTCTAGAATCTATAGTTCCCCTGGGATTCTGAATATAACATATAACTTAACAATGAACTGTGTTGTGGACCTTTTGTGAACATTTCAAGGTGCATGCACAACCTTGGTGATAGCCATGGAAATGTAACTAACTGAAATGAAGAATAAAAGGCAAATGAGCTGGGGATAAACGTGAATCCTATCTGATTAAATTTTTCGTTTTTTTCCTTGTCTTTTCTCTTTGTTTCGGCGTTTTCAACAGGCTTTACTGTTTTTATGCTTCATGGTGCCAAACCAGCCACTCATACATAATAAAGAATTTGGAATGAAAGGACTTATAAATATTACATAGCTCTCACTTTCATTCAACTCTCAGGCATGTTGCCAGTGTTTTCCTCCTCTAAGTGCTTTGTCTGCTTCAACTTTCTTATAATTGAGATGGCAAAAGTATTAATTATTATGGTGTCTGATATATACAGTGGATTCCAAAAAATGTATATGCATTTTAAGAGAGAAAAAACTGTATAAAAATTGTAATACTCAAAATATACCGATAACAAAAGATGAATACAAGTCATGTGTATACATTTTTTGGCACCTCCAGTATATATGGCATTTTATGAATTTTCACTTATACTTTCCAACTTAATCATCACAGCAGTTCTGGTGGTAAACATTTCTTTTCATTTTATTGGTGATGAAGTTAAAGACCAGAGAGGCAGAACTGTTCCCTTATATTTTTGCCAAAGATAATCATTCCTGGCATAATTTCTTATGGTTTAAATATTTACTGAACCTCTTGCTGTAAATGCCTTATTTTCTGTCTCACTTTTGGGTAATGGACCCGTGTTTCAACAGCATACCACACATAGGTGGCATTCCATTTGTATTCTGGGATTACAGATAAATTTACCCTGTGACATTCTATAAGACCATCAGGATCAGGGGAAAGGTAAATTAAAAAAGAGAAAGAAGGTTGGCTCATTCAACACTTTCCCATCTTGCATCAGCAGAATCTGTTCTATGTCTAAAAATGCTCAGTGTTGATTATTAGCAGACTATTAAGAAACTGAGTTCAGAAAAGCTCATCTGTCTAAATATAATTACCAATAATATGTTTTTAATGACAATGTCAGGATTATACAGGATTTACTGTAAAAAGAAAAAAATATGTAAGAAGGGGAAATAATGCATTTTAATTGCCATCAAATTTTGATTAGAAAAACAAAATTAAATAGTCATAAATGAAAAGTGAAGCTATTCATTTTATATTTGAAATAAATCACAAGACAGACTAATGGAATGGCAATAGTGAACTTGTCTTGGAAAGAGACAATGAATATGTTAAATGGCTGTGTAACAGAGCAGGAACTCTAGAGTATTTATGATGTGCTTGGAGACATTTAGGGCTAAATCGATCTATTGAAAATATTGAAATCTCTAGTAGCTTATGATGATTAAAATGTGGTTTAAATTTTTTTCTTATTGAGAAAGTTGTCTTTTTTCCCTCCAATTTCCCCTGCCAAAATTCAATTAATTGTTTGAATGCCCGAACATTATTAAACTATAGATATATACTAACTTTCTCTAACATGGGTACAGTATCATGAATATTGATCCTAAATTTTATAATTTCCTGTTTACCCCAAAACTAACTGTTTTGAGGATATGATATGTTTCATTGTCTAAAAATTAAATAATTTAATAGAATTCATGTTACATGATTTTGTTCTGTGTTTATCACAATCATGTCTTAGTGGTGATGGACCTCTGAATATGCGTTTTGAACACTAAGGTCTTCAAAGACTATGGCAGTCTCTATCTAGAATCCCAGGTAACCTAATACTCATTTTTTTCTTAAACAGAATTTAAGAACAGTTTTAAATTCACAGAAAAATTGAGCAGAAAGTACAGAGTCCCCATCTAGCCCTTAACCACCCACACACAAACTTCCTCCACTGTCTCCACCCCACACCAGAATGATATAGTTATTACATTGATGAACCTACAAAGACACATCATTATTACCAAAAGTCTAGAGTTTACATTAGGGGTTACTCTTGCTGTTGTATATTTTATGGATTTTGATAAATGTAAATATATAATGACATGTATCCAACTGCAGTATCATACACAATAATTTCACCATGCTAAAAGTCCCCTGTGTTTCACTTGTTCCTCCCTCTCTTCCCCTTAATTCTTGGCAGCAATGATCTTTCTACTGTTTTCACAGTTTTGACTTTTCCAGAATATTATATAGTTAGAATCATACAGTATATAGTCTTTTCAAATTGACCTCTTTCACTTAGTAATATGCATTTATGATTTCTCCATGTCTTTTCATGGCCTGATAGCTCATTTCTTTATGATACTGAATAATATTCCATTGTCTGGACTTATCACAGTTTATCCAGTCACCTGCTGAAAGACATCATGGTTGCTTCCAAGTTTTGGCAATCATGAATAAAGTTGGTTTATAAATTAATGTGCAAATCTTATGGATATGATTAAATATCATATTAATGTCATGTATTTGGGCAATGATAATTTATGAATGGTTTTTAATTAGGTTCAAAATATAGAAATTATCATGAATTGAACCATTATAGATTTTATAAATAGCATACCCTTACTTACCTTAAAGGCTAGCTAGTCACTTACTAGCATACCAGTCAAATATCTTTATTAGGAAATTCTTTATCTTATTTTGGAATCAAATTTTAAATTTGGAATTAAATTTGATGTATCATTATTTGTAAAATGGTGTGAATTGTAAATCCATAGAGTTAAATCGAGTGTACTCATATTTCTCATAATAAATAAACATTAGATAAGGACATTTCATGTAACTCAAAACCAAGTATCTTATTGTGGGGGGAAATACATTTTTTTTTAATCTTTGTTAAATTTGGTAAACATTTAGAATTTTTCTTATAAGCCAGAAAAAATGTCATCACATCAAAATGATTAAACTACTTTGGCATTAGTGAAAGTATTACATCTCTTAGGAGTAGTGAATAGTGACATGAAACAGGTAAAAATATTACCATATGAATAAGATTCTTTATATAATTTGAATGTGGCAGTTCCTGAAACCTTTCTTTAATCAATGGTCTCGATATTTTTATTTCCTTTTGAGATCCTTTAGCAAGGATCTAAAAGGTTTTGTAAATCCAATTCTTTCTTGCTGGGAGAAGCTATTTTAAAGCAAGCTTAACATGCTGATCAAAAAGAAAAGAAAACTAAATCAAACTTGTAACTTTATTGCACAGGATTAAGCACAAAGTCAGTACCTAAGGATTGACTGTATATACTTTCTTTTTCTTTGTCTTTTTTTTTCCTTTGAGGACTCATATTTTACCAGTAACTCAATCTGTCTGGAAACAAAAGCAGTAGTTTAAGTGCTCTTCATAGCATACTTTCCTGTTGTAGCAGCTGTTCCTTATCACACTGGATACTGGCAGTAAGCTTAAAAAACTACGAGAGCGATGGATGGATGGCTTGCAGAAAGCTCCAGAATCTAAGATAATAATGACTAAAAAACACACTCATATACACAGCTGGATACACAGAGACAAAGAAAATGCATAAGATGAAGCAGCAAAAACTGAATATTGCCTGAAGCAAAGTCATTTAGTATGAAATAAATAAAATGATAAGGTCAAAGGTCAAAGTCTCTAACTGCTTTATAAACCTTGTCAGAATAATTTCTGCACAAAAGGACCAGACATTCTTTTCACTGGAGACCTTGAAAGGTTTCCATTTATAACAGGGAGGGTGGGGTGGGGGCTGGAAAAGAAACCGCCAATTTCCATATTCCCTAGCATTCATCACTGGATCTTCACTGCCTGGCACACTATCCAGTTCAGAGAAGACTCTTAATCCATATTTGAAGAATGAATTGAGACAACTTTATCTTAGACGCTCTTTTTTAATTTTCTTCTTTCAGTTTTGACAAATGTCTTTTCTTTACATTTACATTAATGTTATAGTTAAATGCTTTCAGAATCAACTAATGAGTGTCCAACATATAAAATATTACTGGTTTTATTTTGATTTGTATAAAATGTATTTGCATAAGTTTTTGGTCTCTTGTTTATTACAAGAGCACAACTAATGACACAGTACTACTGAGAACAGATTGCCTTTTAAACGTGAAACTCCTTAATGTCACAAATGAGATTCCTAGGACAATATCATTACAAGGCTTATTTTACAAAATTAATTTTTTTATGATTTAGATCTATCTCTTATGTTTTTGGAACTGGTAATTTTATGCATTATCACCATAACATTGAGTGTCACAGTAGTAAGGTAGAAGAAGAATGTATACAATTGACAGCAGCTTTTCTTGGCACTAAATGTCCATGTGTTGCATGTGGCTTGTTGGAAACATGGAAAAAAGACACACAGGATTAACACTTAAAAGGTATTCTCTGACATATGTGGTCCATCAGAGAGCCACAGGCAGAAATTGCTGCAGCCTCACATCATTAAATAATCCTTTATCTAACCACACCAGGTTAAATATGAGACTGCTTTTTATATTAAATACAAGGTTAAATATTTTTTTAAAACACTGAATTAACCAATTGGTAGTAATGACCAAGAAGCCTTAATATTCCCCTCAGCTTGACTAAATTTTAGACATGTTTCTTCTTGACTATAGACCCCTGACCTTACTTTTTTTAGAGCATTTGCTTTAGAATACTTGCTATTGTAAACTTGCTTTTTTCTCACCCTTGGAAATGTAAGTCTCCTTCCAGCTCTTGCCAGTTTTGCAACCCAGGAATGTCTTTCTCAAGGGCCTGGGAGCCATTCCTTTGAAATGTAATAATTATGAAAGAGTCCACCCAGGTCTACCAGTGTTTGTGGGAGGGTAGGTAATTAACTTTAATTGTCAATCAGCAAATGAAGATGGCCTATTTTGCTTAGCATAATGATAATCTCAAGATCCATCCATGTTGTCCCAAATGGCACTATTTCATCTTTTCTTATAGCAGAATAGTATTCCATTGTGTATATATACCACATCTTCTTTATCCAATCATCTATCAAAGGACACTTTGGTTGTTTCTATGTCTTGGCCACCGTAAATAAAGCTGCAATGAACATCAGAGCACATATATCTTTAAGGATAAATATTTTCAGATTTTGGGGGTATATACCTAGGAGAGGGATTGATAATTCAGACAGA